ACTTCTTCCAACCCTGCTGTCTTTGGGTAGAAAGTTGGATTAGATGACCTTTGATTGTTTCCAAATCTGCAAACCACCATCTGATATAACAGTTGTAGATATTAGGGAGGGGGATATGATTTTCTCATCCCCCGCATGGATCAACTGACAGAAGCTGGAATAGGATGGCCCAGCATTTTCATACTTGCTTTCATTCTGCCATTGAATCTACTGAACAATACTTCAGAAGTGAGTGTCATAACTTCTTACCAGTTGTTCATTTTTCCTAAAAGATTACTCATGTTCAAAAACCTTCAGGAGACTTCCTGTGTTGTTTAATTTATGAACTATTAAAACTCTCATATATGTAACTTTACCTTGATGAAAGGGTGTATAATAGGGCAAAATTTTATCAACAGAGCTGAAATGGGTTAACTACAGAACCAGTTGTTTCTGACTAACGAAATTTGGGAAAATTGTGACTAATGTGATCTAGCTGCTGCTTCTGCTGCTGTCACATGATCCTCATTTTCAATGTTCTGTGAATTTCCTAACCATTCCTGTAAGCCCTTCCACACAGCAGAGGGAAGGGAGGGCAAACCAGCGAAAGGAAATCCTGCACACTTTTCTCACGCCACTTTCTCCAGGCCTACTCAACCAATGCGGCACCCCTTGCACACCTCCATACACTGACACTGACTTATTCCATTCTCCCACATGTCCTCTCCAGTCTCACCACACACAGCACCTCTTGCACACTCCTGCAACCCCCATGTACTCCCATCAGTCTGCATCACCCTCACATACACTACCCAACATGTGTAGATTTATCATCCATCCCAATGTACCATTCCTGGTCCATGCTACCCATTCACACACACTCTCCCTAACCACACAAAGTCTCTCACAGAACCCCTCCCAACTCACGTGTTTCCCTTCACGACTTCCCTGACACATGGGACATTTGTTGCACCTACTCACACCCTTCCTGACCCACACTGCCCACATACACCACAGCTAACCTTGCTACCTCCCCAGCAGCCACTTATCTGTCTGCTGGCCTTGGATTTGCAAAGAAAATGGGCAGCTGGAGGGAGGGGTGGAGTGGAGTTTTGGATGCTTTCTGACAGCTTGACAGTTCCCACAAGGAAATTCAGTGGGGAAGAAGATAGGAAGTCAGATTCATTCCTGCTCGCACAGAATAAGTCCTATCTTATTCTAAACAAATATTAAAAGTGAATTTGTATTTAGATTTATTTCAGCTCATTCTGGGTAAGTGCTTTTCTATTCTTCTTATACCCCTCCTATCTGTATTATGATACTGCATTTCTTTGCCTGCATACCTTGTGAAGAAGTGGTAGTGATGGGATTCCACTTGCCATGAACAGTGTGCAACCACGGCAAGTCAATCTGATCTAATTCAAAAATATGCTTGGGTTTCTATTGAATATGCCATCCTGAGTTCCTTGGTAGAAAGCAGAGTTTTAACATCTAGAAGGCCTTATATATGTGTTTCCTCTTTTCACCTCTCTTCTTTCCCTCAAAACAGATGATCCATTGACAAGATCACGGATGACACATCTGTACATCAACAACTTCACTGCTCACTCCGAGGATGAGCAAGTTGTGTAACTTGCAGAACGCTGATTTGGAGCACAGTCTTCCTGCCATTGCTTCCTCATTTTCATACTCCCCAGGGTTTTCTCCACATTACTTTTCTCCTGAGAGAAGAAGGGCCATTTCTGATGTGCGGCGAACCTTCTGTCTCTTTGTGACTTTTGACCTTCTCTTCATCTCACTCCTCTGGATAATTGAACTGAATGTGAGTCAGAAAGCTTGCTTTTGCAAATAAGATCTTATCTCCTGACCTCCTGGATTCCCTCTGCCCCTACCCCACCCCCATTTTGCTCAAATAATTAGGGAAATAAAAGTTTCCCAGATACACTTTTCTTCACAGCTATTGCAGTGGATGAAATACAGTGCATCAGTTGGAGATTCCCATCCCTGTATTGGGTAAATAATTGCCCAGGCTAACTGTAGCATACTAGACAATTTCAAAAGAAGCTACACTTCTGTTTAGCAATCCATTATTTGTGGCATCCTATTGTTGTGCTGATATCAGCCTGTCTCCATCTGAGTAGTTATGCTCCATTAGGAATCTCATCAGGAGTGGGATTCAAATTTCTTAACAACCAGTTCTGTGGGTGTGGCCTAATTTGTGGGTGTGGCTTGGTCATGTAACTGGGTAGGCGTGGCTTGTATGTAAATATTGTAAATATTTATGTAAATATTGAATTTTTTTATTAAAAAAAGAGCAATTTTAACCCAAAATCAGGCAAAGCAGGCAGGCGGATTGAGTTGCTTGCAGAATCACAGATTCACTCACAGATCTACCTTTCTACAGTCTGCTGCCTGAGTCTGCACTGAAAAATAGAAGCTTTAATCCTAAGGAAGGTCCACTCTGCTCTCTGGCAACTCTGTCCCCTCCGAATACCACAACTGACTGGGCCTCAGGGAAGCCTTCTGGGCGAAGACAAAGCAGTACAACAGTGATTTAGATTAGCTAGAAAGCAAGAAATCCCACAATTTTCTGCTTTCTTGCTAATCTAAAAGGAGTGACTGCGTGGGAAGGGGCGGGAGGGGAGGCACCAGCCAGTGGCATAATATGCCTGTTCTCCAAACTGCACAGAATTGTAGCAACTTGTTCTATAGAACCGGTCTGAACAAGTAGAATCCTACCCCTGAATCTCATCTTAGAAACACAGCTATTTGTCAATAAAAGCAAGTTATTGGCTCATATACTAAGATTTGTATGAATGCTTGTTAGTTGCCAATTTTTGTTTGCAAGTTTTCATATTAGAGGACAAGAGTAAAAAAAAGGCTAGTATTTCATTAGATTTTGGGTCTGATTGCCTGGTCTTTTCACCTTTAAACACAAACCATAAGAGGGGATGAATCAAACATGCAAGTTTTTAATTTCACTTGACTTGTAAATCTGCTTGGGACAAATATAATCATGACTAACCTCTTGGGAATGTTCCAATTGTTAGGCATAGAAGGAAGGCCACTTCATGTCTCCACTATAAACAAACCTACATATATCAATGCTATTGTGTGCTACAGGTTAGTGAGGTAATAACTCAGGTAAATCACTCAGCTTACATGTTATGCTATAAGAATAGAAACCAATTTGATTTCAAGGAAAAACATTCCTTCCTGGTTGCAAACCTGTCCCAATTGGTTCCTCAGAGCATTTGAAAACGCTGCTCCCTGTAGGAGTAATTATACTCCTACTCATCTGCAGCAGTTAAAATTATAAATATACAACTTTAAGCAATTCTTTAAGCAATTCTTCTGGGAACTTCTTAATCTATTGGCAAGTGTCCAGAGGAAATGGAGTTGTAGTCTATGTCGAAATGGTAACTAATTGTGTCAAGATATACTAGAGCAGGAGTGTCAAACTCAAGGCCTGGGGGGTGGATCTGGCCCACAGGGTGCTTAGATCTGGCCCGCAGGGCTACCCTGGAAACAGCGAGGGACCGGTCATGCACGGCCCTCCCGAGCTCTGTTTTTTCTGGCAGAGGTTTGCAGGAGGCCATCCCAGCCAAAAACTGAGCTCAGGAGCCCATTTTCGCTGGCAGACTGCTCGGGCCACCACAGGCGCCCCCTGACACAGTGATATCATGCTGGCCATGCCCACCCTGGCCACACCCACACTAGCCCCCCCCAAGGTCAAACACAACACTGATGCGGCTCTCAGTGAAATTGAGTTTGACACCCCTGTAGAAGAGCTTCTGAACAGAAATTTCATTAAGCATAATTCAATTTACAAAATGTATAATAACTATGAAGCATTATATTTGTAGTAAACAAAATATTTCTCAATATAGCATATCAGTAAGAACAATCATTGGAAATGGAAAGAACCATATGATAGAAATGGAATGTTTTGGTCACTTCACTCTACCCTCTTCAATGCAACATGTCAATATATTCCACAGTAGGAACCATTGTGAGAAAGTAGCTCAAGTACAGTAGCTTATACATCTCTTGAATGCCACTCTATTTTAGATTTGGAAACCACAGCTTATTTAATAGGCAAATGAGCAGAGATTCATCATATGGCCTCCCATTCACTCTGCTTTCTTGCTTTCAAAGGATTAGAAAAAAGGAGGGGGGTTTTGAAAAGAAGGGAAACAATGAAAAGCCTGAATACCATATTCACAGGAAATGACACATGGTTTTGCTGATAGTAATATAGCCTCAAATGAGCCAATTGGTTTTCCCAGAACAGAATGCACAAGTAAAGGAAAACTAGTCCTGCTAGAAGCAGGATTCAGTCTTTCCATTGTATAGAACAGTTGTTTCACAACTCAGTCACAAAAACAAATAGAGTGAAGGGAATCTTATTTTTTATTTATTTTATTTATTTTGATTTGTCAAATCGCTTACAAGATAATAGGTATAAGTATATACATAGTTATGAATACACGAAATGGGTACATATAAGAAAAATAAAAGAAACAATAGGACAGGGACAGTAGGCACATTGGTGCGCTTATGCACGCCCCCTACAGACCTCTTAGGAAAGGGGTGAGGTCAATAGTAGAAAGTCTAAGGTTAAAGTTTTTGGGGTTTGGGGAAGAAACCACAGAGCCAGGTAGAGTATTCCAGACATTGACCACTCTGTTGCTGAAATCGTATTTCCTGCAATCAAGTTTGGTGCAGTTAACCTTGAGTTTGTATCTATTGTGTGCTCTTGTGTTGTTATGGTTGAAGCTGAAGTATTCATTGACAGGTAAGTCATTGCAATGTATGATTTTATATACTATACTTAGATCAGACCGAAGACGGCGTAATTCAAGGTTTTCTAGGTGTAGAATTTCAAGTCTGGTGGCATAAGGTATTCTACAACAAGTAGAGGAATGGAGAATTCTTCTTGTGAAATATTTCTGGACTTTCTCAACTGTGCTAATATCAGATACGTAATGTGGGTTCCAGACTGATGAACTGTATTCGAGTATTGGTCTAGCAAATGTTGTGTATGCTCTAGTTAGTAGTGTGATATTACCAGAGAAAAAGCTACGTAGGATTAGGTTAACAACTGTTAATGCCTTTTTGGCTATGTAGTTACAGTGGGCTCTAGCACTTAGATCATTAGAGATGAGTATTCCAGGGTCCTTTACAGAGCTTGGATCATCAACAAGGTCTTGACTATTCAGCTTGTATTTTATTTTCTGATTATTATTTTTTGCCAATATGTAAGGCAGAGCATTTGTTTGTTGAGATTTGAAGTTGCCATTTGTTTGACCATTCTGATACATAGTCAAGATCTTTTTGAAGGGTAGCAGTATTGTCTGTGGTATTGAACAGCTTTACATCATCAGCAAAGAGAATGCAGTTGCTCTTAATATGATCACAGAGGTCATTTATATAGAGTATGAAGAGACTTGGTCCTAGAACACATTGCCTTGGGGGACACCACTATTGACAGGTACAGAATTTGATAGGACACTCCCAATTTTGACCATTTGTTGCCTGTTTGACAGGAATGCTGCTGTCCAGTTATGCAGTTGTCCAGAGATACCATAATATTTTAGTTTTAAGAGTAGTTTGTCGTGTACCATTGAATCAAAGGCTTTACAGAAGTCTATGTAGATTGCGTCTATTGTTTTGCCCTGATCGAGTTGTGTAGTCCATATGTTTTTGCAGTGTAAGAGTTGCAGATTACAGGGTAGTTTTTTTCTGAAACCAAATTGTTTACTAGAGAGTAGGTTGCTTGTCTCTAAGTGGAGGATAATGGATTAGTTAATAATTGATTCAATGACTTTACAGGTGACGCAGCATAAGGAGATTGGTTTGTAATTTTCAACTAGGCTGGGATCTCCCTTTTTGAAGATGACCGTGACTTGTGACCATAGTTTTGGCAAGGAGCTGGTCCTGAAAGATTTTTCAAAGATTATGCTTAGAGGTTCGGCTATGGCAGTGGATAGCTTTTTAAAAAAGTAGGCACATATTCCGTCTGATCCTGAAGCAGAATGGAAAGTTATCAGAAAAGTATTCTCATAATTAGCAGAAGTTTTCTAGCGAATATTATGGAAGTTGCTTAATACAATATTGTGTAAACCACGAAATTACTGAACCAAAGAACTATACATGTATCAGTAAACAAGGGTAGGTATGGAAAATAACGGAGGGTGTAAGATAAGTACGCATATGCTGAATTGTGTAAAATGACTAATTAGATTTACTTCTCCTTTCTATAATAGATATGATATGGTATAGCTTGATAAGAGAAATGCCCCGGGCTAGGCTGAGGCTGTGAGATGTATAAAAGTGACACCTCAGGAAGAGCCGGGGGTTCAGAATTTGCCATGCTAATGCTCTGAACCTTTTGCACAAATAAACAAGTATTCTCCTACCCTTCGTGGTCTTGTGTCCTGATTTGGAAACAGGATCTGCTGCAACAGTCCAATAGATAGAGATGGTTTTAGATTGTGTAGTGCTTTTTCAACATTGTCTTCTATAAAATCAATATGTATTAGATCATTGTAGTTTTCTGTAGTTCGGCTAGGAAATACTGGGCATGATCCATTGCTGTTTACAAATACTGAGCCAAAGAATGTGTTAAAGATGTTGGCTTTAATGGTGTCGTTGTTGCAGTCTTTACCATTAGGTCCTATCAGAGGTGGGATGGACCTTGAGTCTTTTAATTTGTTGTTTACAAAATTGTAAAAAGCGCGGGTGGAATTGGTGCGTAGAAGGTTTTTCTCTTGTTTAATGTGATAATTGGTGCATTCAGTCTTTATCTGGTGGCATAAATTTTTGTATCGGCTTTTGAAGTTGGCAACATGACCAGATTTGTTTTTCCGTCAGAGTGATATCTTTTTGGATTGAAATTTCCTTATTGTTATGGGTAATCTGTTTTGTTTGTTTGTTTGTTTTGGGGGTTGTTATTGGTACATATAGTTTGATGACTCTTTGACTTCAAGTAAAAATATGTTGTAATGGTCTTCAACAGTATTGCATCAAGTGAATAGAGATTGCCAATCAAGGGATGAGGGATCATTGTCTATAAGATCATAGTTGCCTTTTTTGAAGTTATAATTGGGGATTACGTCATTGTGATGATTTTTGTGTGGGCGTATGTTGAGACAAAAGTCAATCATATTGTGGTCACTGTTGGAAAAAGGTTTAGTTTGTATTCCGTAAATTAAATTCAAACTATTGCAGAAGATGACATTGAGGCAGTTGTTAAATCTAGTATTTTTGGTTACTAGTTGTTCCAGTCCCAGATTTGTTACAGCATTGTAGAAGGTTGCATGTATAGGTTCAGTTTTACATTTGTTTAGGATCCATTTAATGTGAGGTAGATTGAAGTCACCAAGAAAGATAAAAGCATGTGGGCAGGATGTTGCCCATGTTAGTAGTGAATTTAGCTTGTTTTCATGTTCGATGTCATAATCTTCACACTCATAAGAAGAAATGGAGAGAGAACAATCTCCATAATGTCTACATCCACTCTAGATAACTGAGGGATTCAGCAATATAACCATTTACAGATGTTCTGGAGTAGAATTTCTATAAACACCGACTAAAATAGCAAATGACTTGCATTCACAGAAGTTATCTAAGTCAATCTGCAGAGGTCAATATAGTCTAACTCTGGGCTAAGGATTCTTGTAGAGCTGTTTTTTTTGTCAACCTCATCAACTTGTAAGATGTATGAAATTCAATTCCTAGAATTCTCTAGCCTAGGGAGAAACACTGTAGAGGAAAGCATTTAGAGGTGGAATAGCACATAGTTCAGGGCAGGTACTTTTTAGATATATTTTCTTCTGACACCTAATAAAAGTAAGATTGCTATTTGCAATCTATTAAATGTTTTAATTCACAGCATAATTTGTTAGTAGCTTTTAGACTATGCTGGTCTGAATAATTTTACTAATGTTGCACTTTATATTCATATTAAATGTCTGATGCTTGGTTTGTCACTCTTAACATTCATGTTGCATGCCTGTTTATAACTTTTCATTGCTGATACTTGTTTGAGAGGTCCAGATTTACAGGGAGCATTAAGATGAAAAGAGCCTGTCATTGTTAGGCAGAATTCAGACAAATATGTGAGGCTAGAGAACTAAGCAATCCCAACCAGAGAAATATCAAGCCAACTAAGAATAATGATCCCAATAACATTCAGAATATTTTAATGGTAACTGAGTAGAGAAAAATAGAATAATTCTGCCCTGCAAAAACTGGGAGTTCTTCTAGTAGTCTACTGAATAACTACAGTATTGTTGAAAGTAATCAATGGGACAATCTGACTCTCCAGGACTTGGCCCCCCAATTGGCTACAAATTATGTGCATATTGTTGAAGATGATTTGGGGAAGATGTATGGATCTGTCTATATTGATCCCAGATATTTTTCCCTGGCAGGTTTTTTTATATATATTATCATTGTGTGAGCAAGATTAATTAAATAAATACAGTAAATAATGAGGCTGGCCTCTGTGACAATGGAGGTTATGATGAGATTCTGCACCTCTGCCAAGAGTACATATTTAGTCTCCATTATGGATTAGTTAGGCCTTCAGTGTAGGATAGCAATTCTACCAATATATTGCCCAGTCACTCTGTTGTTTAGGGTGGGGGGAGGAAACCTTGGGACTATGATTGGAGCCTTGTTATTTATGGCTCAAGATGGAATTATTGCCACAAGAATTCAAGTTGAACTAGAACTTGTTGCGATTTGAATGTGAACTTAATTTGTATTTGGCCCAATATATTAGTCTTCCTTTAGTGGGCTAGTTGATTCACCTTGCTATTTAATGCCTTTTATACCTATTTCAGTGGATCAGAGTAGTGATTATATTCATAATTTGGCTGATCTATAAAATCCCCAATAAACTGGTCTAAAGGCACTATCATTCCAAATTAAACTTACTGCTGTCAGGTGCAAAACTCAGGAGCTAGGATAAAGTTCAAAAGTACTAAAAGTTTATTTCAGGCTACCTATACACAGAACATGATCTACTAACAGTCAAGGCAAATTGGCACCAGATAAGAATCAACAGACTTCAGCAGGGCTGGACTTAGGTCTCTTACGAGGGTGTAGTAACTCCAAACTGATGATGCATTTGACCCCACCCTTGGACTCACCCTGGTCATCTTCTATAGCTACCCTTTCTTGTAGAACTAACCCATATCCAATTTTCTCAATAATTTATAACTAAAAGATATGTAATATAAATTATGAGTCAAATCAGAATGGATTGGAGCTAATTGCAGTGCTATATGTTATTCTTCTGAGCTATCCAAAATTACCTAGAACAGCGCCCCTTCCCCAACCTTTTGGGCACCATGGTCCGGTTCCATTGTGAGAGGTTTTTCCATGGATCAGAGGAGTTGTGGTTTTGTGTGCTACCTGCTTCGCTTCTTTGCATGGTCTGGTATATTGGACCAATGTTGGTCCACAGACTCCCGGCCTAGAAGAAACTTCCTGGGGTGCCTTTCGAACCATTTCAAGCATAATACTTCAGCAAATGCCATACCTCAAGTGCAAAATTGCTGTTCTTGAATACAAAATGTGCTTTTTCAAAAATTTTGGAAATGTTTCAAGCTGATAATAGTGCTTCATATATTATGTTTTGAACATAAAACAGATGGTTTTATACTCAAAACAGTTTTGTATTCAAGATACAAATTGTGCATTATCTTAAAACTTTCCTTGTATCTCCAGAGATGTATGTTTATGCATGATGAGAGACTGTGCTGGTTGGTTTTGAATTCTGGGAATTGTAGTCCTACCATACCTGGAGGTACCAATTTTTTTAAAAAAACTAAGTTTAAATAAAAGGTAAAGGTTTCCCCTGTCTAGTTGTGTCTGACTCTAGGGGGGCAGTGCTCATAGTAAAATCCCAGCTAATCATTGTCTATCCATCAAACTCTATTAATGTCATTTCCTTTAATCTTATTTACTTTCAGACTATCAAAAGTATCCAGGTCAATTTAAAGGAAGAAGTCATCCATTACAAGTTTAAAACATCCTTTTTTGACATATTTGTAAGTATTCTGTTGCAATTGTCTTTTTTTTTTTTTTTAAATGGAGGGTTTTCTTTTTGTCGGGGCAAATTATTGCTAAATAATTCGCAGGGCTATTCAAACATGTCAGCTGTAGCATTTTGGAGAAATATTTTTCAGCCTCTAAAAATCTTCCTACATTGCCGGCAGTTTTCATAGTTTTCTATTAATTTAGTTCACTCAGAAATAGTTGTGTTGTTTTGTATTTCTCAGAACTTCATCATTGTTCATAAATATATTGTATATATATTTTTATTAGCTCTTGGCTTTTTTCCGGTTCTCGGTGCTACTTCTTGCATATGCTGTTTTTAAACTCCGTCATTGGTGGGTCATAGCGGTAAGAGAAAATTCTTTACAAAATATATGTTTAATTATGTAACTTTGCATCTTCCCAAGCTGCTCTTGTTAATGGATCTTCTTTTTTCTTTCTCCCTCTTTCCTCTTCACCCCCAAGATCACTACATTGGTGTGCAGCACTTTCCTGATAGTGAAAGTTATCTTCTCAGATGTGAGTTCATGAAAAAATAGGTTCTATCTGAAATTTTGCAGCCACCTTTTTAATGGTTGGAGCAGATTAAAATATCCCGTATTAACTCATGGGAATTTAGTTCACCATTAAAATTCCAGTGATGGTAATGGTGGAGGTGCAGAAGTATGCTTACAAATAAAGCACTTTATCCATAACAGCTGATCTTCCAAGATGGTGCATAATAGTCTTTAAGGAATACTGAATACATTGACCTTTGTTAAGCTAACACCCACCAAATGTGTTGGCTGTAATTCCCATACACTGCAGGTAGTTTGCATTTAGTGATTAAAATTGAGTCTATTATGTGGAACTGCAGTGAGGCTTATGATCTTATTTCAGCTTCCCTTAGCAAACTTGTAAAGATCATAAGTACAAGGGTTGATTGTATAGTAACGTTTTCATCACCATCATCTGCTAAATGAGGTGGTCACTATATGAAGTTTAGCTGTAGTCAGGGGTCATATGCCTGAAATGTATGAAGGTTATAGATTCATTCCAACTGGGAGGCTCTAATAAATGTTAAGTGATCTCCAATATGTGCCTTGAAACTTCTCTCCTTTTTTTTGTCTTTATACAACAGCTGCTGACCAAAGGGGCATTCGGCTACCTTCTACCCATTGTTTCCTTTGTCCTTGCCTGGTTAGAAACATGGTTCTTGGATTTCAAAGTCTTGCCACAGGAGATAGAGGAAGAACAATGTGAGTCTGCTTATCCAGTGAGAGCGGTGTGTCAAATAAAGCTGCTCTTCTACCTATTAAAATAGTGTTATCAGCTTTCTTGGTGAGGCATTTATAGACTAAGCTGAAAAGTTATGATAGTTTGGCCAGCTGCTACACAAAAGCAAAATCTGCTTTTCTGAATCCAAACATACTACAAAGAGTTGCTTGGTTGTCCAGCAGAATCTACAGGTTCATGATCTGCTCTGATGTAATTAGATTTTTATGTGACTTTGATGTTGTGGTTATGATTTGCAGTTATTTGCAATGCAGATGAGTTAGTGGCTGGCAACTTTTTAAAATACTGTTCAATAATCATGAAATCCAGACTGGGATTCTAAAAGAAAGACTGGGGATTTTAGTATGTGATATTGGAGTGGGACGTATGTTTGGCTCTTATTCTATTAACACCCCAAAAGTATGCTGGTGACAATTTCTAGTTTGTATTAGAAATAGGAAGGCCTGTTTTTAAAATTGTACCTATCCTTTGGAGGTAATACTTAGTCTAACCAATCCAGTACCAGCAGGGATTTTTGGATTCTGATGATACATACATTTGAGAAATAAATCCATACAATTGTTGGAAAATAAAGAACTGGTATGTGTTTCATTATGAGGCACTTAAAAAACATTCATAGTAACTTTCACTCTGATGATAGAGTCATCATACGAACTATGGCTTGACAGGATGTAGAATTGCTCAGTTGCTAGATCAGTGAACAGCCAGCCAGACCACTATGTTTTCCTAAAACTCTTCATCACCGAGTGTTTGCTAACCTGAATTGAAAGAACAAAATTGCAGTTTCCACTCTGATTTAATTTTTATTCTTACACAGATAGATCTTCCATGAAGGCCAAGTCAGTCTTTCATTAGACCAGTCTCTCCTAATTAGGCATTAGATTTTTAATCTTTCTCACCAGTGAAGAATGAACAATTGATCAACCTTTCCAAGTCTTTCAGTCTCACCGGTACTTCAATGAAAGTTATAGTCCCAGTTTGTGAAGTCGTCTACTTTCTATGAAGATTGCTCACTTTTTTCAAATGTCATTTTCCCTTGCATTCAGTAGGCTTTCCCATGTCATATACAGGTAGTTCTCGACTTACAATAGTTCATTTACTGACTGTTCAAAGTTACAACAGCATTGAAAAAAATGACATGACCACTTTTCACACTTACGACCGTTGCCACATCCCCATGGTCACGTGATTTATATTTGGATGCTTGACAACTGGCTCACATTTATGATGGTTGCAGTGTCCCGACCTTCTGACAAGCAAAGCCAGTGGGGAAACTAGATTCACTTAACAACGATGTTACTAATTTAAGAACTGCAGTGATTCGCTTGACAAATGGCGAGAAAAGTCATAAAATGGAGCAAACTCACTGAACAAATATCTCACTTAACATCATAATTTTTGGGCTCAATTGTGGGTGTAAGTTGAGGACTACCTGTATTGTGTAGACTAGGCAGTAAGTTTCACATTGACTAAGCCAACCAATTTTTCTCTTCCCTCTTTTTCTTTTCAGGGTATGTGGCAGCTCAGGCTGCTATGTCTCGAGGCCCACTCTTTTACTCAGGAGCACTTTCAGATGGCCAATTCTACTCTCCTCCAGAATCTGTTGCAGGTGACTTTCTTCCTCTCAAACCTTTTATATGATGAGTTTAAGAATTGGCCTGAAGGAGAACATAGAAGTTATAAATTCACACATGATATTAACATGATTTCTCTGTGGTGAACTGCAATCCCTTTTGTTTTAGTAGCTGACACAAATATGACAAGGCTCTTTCACTTCTCTGTTTATAAAAAGAAGGAGCAGACATAAAAGGGCACAGGTTTGTATACCTTGGATATGTTTTAGCAACTGTTCCCTAATGCACTAGGGCAGGGGTAGGGAAACTTGGTTCTTTTATCACTTATGGACTTCAGCTCCCAGAATTCCTGAGTGAGCCATAAAAGGTTCCCCATCCCTGGCCTACTGGTTTTTCAGTTGTGGGGGAAATCAATTTTTGATTTGAACGGGACTGTTTAATATACAAATGTAGGACATTCAAGTCAAAAATTGATTCCCCTCACAACTGAAAAACCAGTAGGCCAGGGATGGGGAACCTTTTATGGCTCACTCAGGAATTCTGGGAGTTGAAGTCCATAAGTGATAAAAGAACTAAGTTTCCCTACCCCTGCACTAGGGTGCTTCCAGCAGGTAAAGTCTGCTGTGAAACCCAGATTCTTATATAAATAGAAAATTGCCCGGTGGTTTTTTCATAATTTAGTGTCCAGATTATACGTAACCTGAACAGAATTAGATGGGGAAAATTGATGCATGTTTATGGGAACATTCGATTCATGATTCTGCAGAATTAGCATAGAATTATGTAATCTGTCAACCTCCTTCCTTTATATGAATCACATTTTAGGCCTGCCTTTTTCCAGTTGTAAGACAAGCCATTAATTCACACAGAAATGAGAAGGATTAGTTTTTCTTAGTGTTAGCAGTTTTTATACCTCAACGTGTTCTAAAAGGAACTCCTGACCGAGTAACCAAAACTGGAATTTAAATATTTAGAATACATAACAGAAAATACCTAGCATTTCCTGTTTTGTTTTACTTTTTCCCTGAATGGTTGGTTTTTATCAAGGAATTCCAAAGCTAGAAATGCTTCTTCCTACTTTACACATAATACTTCTAAAAGTCATATTCAAACTTGTAAATTTTTCCCCCTCTCTAATGCAGGATCGGATGAGTCAGATGATGAAGTTATGGGGAAAAGGGCAGTAACTGATGAGGTATGCCTCAATATAGCAGAATCCTTTGGGGCTGTCATATATTGGGTTATATTTTTCTGTTTTCATATAATATAATGCATGCTACTATTCTTTAGAACAAATCTATTTGCTTTTCTGTCAGGTGTCCTGTCTAAATTGCAATAAAGAATAAGCAAAAGATTAGTCTAAACGAGTACAATAGTGGGCAGACACCCATAATCGTAATAGAAAAGAATCAGGTGTCATTTAGCAATGCCACCTTACCCATCCATCTATTCTACTTTGAAGGTGTACTCCCTTTGCTCATCTTTTCAATTCACATACAGCTAGAAATGTGATGGGTTTTTAAAATATCCAAGGGAATATTTCCCAGGACAGGTGCTCAAATGTACTCCATAGTTTCTGCTCAAAAATATCTCAGCACTTATCACAGATGTTTATCCAAACTCCGTGTCTAGAATATCTTCCAGAATAGTTGCAGTGATCAGATGTTCTATAATTGCATGTATCAAATGTGCAATTGTTTCATGCAGGTGTATGCAAACAGTATATTAAAATTATATTTTATTTATGTTAAATTCATACAAATTTTGTAAGTAGGGTAGTATCTTACTTCCTTGAGAAATCCGTGGCTTTCAGACAAATCTGAAATCTCTTCTGTTGTTTGATGAATATGCTTCCTTAGAGCACAGCATGAAACAAAGCTTTATCGGGCATTGAATCTTTTCTGCAGAAATTTCAATAGTCACTATGCATCCGAGACTGTGGGTGTCCCAACTTTTAGTCTAGCCTGGGCCATATTGAATGAAGAGGAATTGTCTTGGGCTGCATATAAATATATAATATACTTAATGTATATAAACCACATAATCATGTTAAAAGTTTATGATCTTGTGGGGCCACATTGCTAGTTGTACTGGGCCACATAACGGAACACGGTTTGGACATGTCTATCCTAGACTTGTTAGAAAAATCCACTTATCTCTTGTTCTTGTTTCTTCCTATCCACCAGGGGGCAGGATTATTCTGTCTAATATTTTATGTCAACTTCTCAAAGAAGCTTCATAAGCCCATTGTTTTTGGTACAATAGTAGCATGCCGGTCTGCTATGTTATGGACAAACAATTCATATTTGCTTCCCTGAATGAGTAATAGTTTTTTTAATTTAATTTAATTTTTTTTATTGGGAGAAATAAAACAGCAGACATGGTAGGACGATGCTGATTTAGATTGGGAGTGGTAGCTTTTGAAAAAAGTCTACGGCATAAAGGCTGAATTTGCTTATTCAGTTTTATTGTTGCAGCAGTAGGTTTTTCAAAGTTCAGACATGTAAGACATGCAACTAGGGCAGTAATATTTAAACTGATCATATGATTAAGAGTTTCTGTTTTGTTTCTAAGGGACCTCCCACTTGTATTTAATTTTTTTTGCAATAACTAAAATATTTAAAGTAACAGTACACCTGTTTGGGTATATTTATATGATATACCTTCCCCCCAAAAAATATTGTGAGGCTTGAAAACCACATAAAATCCAGAATACTTTTCAAGTCTTTCAAGCCTCTTCAGACAGTATTATTGAATATTTGTGGAAAGATTTGCTGAAAATCAACAAATATTCAATTCATTGAAAATGAAGAAGGAAGACTTTTTTTTCTAATATAACCTGGGGGAAGGATGAAGGGAGAGAGATTGTCCTTAAATTCACTTTGGATTTGGGGTAAAATTTGGCTATTTGGAAATGAAAAATACAACAAATCTGTTATGTATAACTTAGAATAAATATAACAAAAGTTTTTATTTATTAAATTTATACTCTGGGCAGCTTGGTTCTTTCCCACCAAAGGTTAAAAAAAATAACCAACCAGGAGAGACAAGAAGAATGAGCAGTGTTTGCAAACTATCTCCACTGTGTAACTCCATAAAGCCACTCAAATACTTAATTGCTAAGACTAATCAGTCTGACATCAATACTTGGGAAGATATTGGAAAAAATAAGCAATAAATCTGTGAACATCTAGAAGCAAACTAGATTATAACCAGTAGTCAACATGGGTTGGTCAAAAAAAGATCATGCCCAACCTTATTTTGTTCTTCAACAATGTGACCAAATTAGTTAATCAGTGAAATGCTGTTGACATAGTATACTTAAATTTCAATAAACATTTGATAAAGTAGACTACAACCTACTTCTTGGAAAGCTACTAAAATGTGGGATAGACAGCAGCACCACCACATGGTGTGAAACTGGCTGACAAATTGTACTCAATGTGTAGTCCTCAACAAAACTACATCCTTATGGAGGGAAGTAAGCAGTGGGGTACCCCATAGTTCCATTTTCTTCAATATCTTCATAAATGATCTAGATGAGGGAATTGAAGGAGAACTTATCAAATTTGCAGATAACACTAGGCTAGTAGGAATAGCCAACACCCCAGAAGACAAGCTTAAGATCCAGAAAGATTTTGACAGACTTGGACTGGGCCCTGTCTAACAAAATGAAATTCAATGTAAATAAAAATAAGGTTTTACATTTAGGTAAGGAAAACCAACTGTATAAGTATAGACTAGGTGAAATGTGGCTTAATGTCAGTAACTGTGAGAGGGATCTTGGAGTCCTTGTAAACAATCACTTAAATATGAACCAAGCTGTGTGGCAGGCAGCCAAAAAAGCCAACGCAGTCCTAGGCTGCATCAACAGAGGGATAGAATCAAGATCACATCTAGTGATCTTGTATAGTACCGGTTTACAAAGCCTTAGTAAGACCACACTTGGAATATTGCATCCAGTTCTGGTCACCACAATACAAAAAAGATGTTGAGACTCTGGAACGAGTACAGAGAAAAACAAAACAAAAAAAGATTAGGGGGCTGGAGGCTAAAACATACAAAGAACAGTTAACAGGAATCAGGTATGTCTAGTGTAATGAAAAGAACTAGGGGGCATATGATAGCACTTTTCCAATATTTGAGGGACTCCTACAAAGACAAGGGGATCAAACTATTTTCCAAAAGACAGGAGAAGAAACAATGGTTAGAAACTAGCCAAGGAGAGAAGCAACCTAGAACTAAGGAGAAATTTCCTGATGTTGAGAGCAATTAACCATGGAATAGCTTGCCTTGTGGGTGATCTATCACTGAAGGCTTTCAAAAAGAGACTGGGAAACGATTTGTCTGAAATAATATAGGGTCTCATATATTGGACTAGAAGGCTTCCAAGGTCCCTTCCACTATCGTTCTATGTTCTTGTTTTCAAGAAAGCTGATTTTATACTGATTCAATGGTAAACAGAGTTTCTTCTTTAATTCACCCTGAAATGGCACCTGTCATAGAATTTGATCACTTTGACCCACAGGAACAGCATGGGAAGTATACAGAGTGCAGATGGTAAATGAAGGGAAGTCTGGTTGGTGCTGCGTGTAGCCAAGAGTATCTCCTTGTATCAAAGTAGATTAAATTAAGTCTTGATCTAATGAACTTGAGATATCGGTATCCGCTGGATATAAAGTGAATTATGTGTTGCTAAGCTGTGTTTTCATATATTGGCCTAGGAGAGAGAATATGTCCGGCAAGGCAAAGTAGCAATGGAGGTGATGGATCAGATCTTAGCCCAAGAAGAAAACTGGATTTTTGAGAAATGCACAGTAAGTTTACAGTTCTGAGTGACTGCTGGCTAGAAATCCTACAACCAGTCATGTCACCTGTAAATGGCACTGTTTGATTTTTTAAAAAAGCAGCGCTGAAGTTTTCTGATACTTTCTGGTATCAAAGATTCCTGATGCTCCCTGTATTGTTATGGTATTATTTAGTGCAGGATGATTTCTTTACCATTCTTGCATTGAAACCTCTCAGATAAGTTTTAATAAGGACCTGATATCCTCCTGTCTCTTTGGTTTCAGTTTTTATGCAGGTTTGTTTTTTTTTTTGCTATAGAGCAAAATTTAGTTTGAAAATGATAATAATGAGGACCTACTGAATAAGCCTGAATAATTTGAGGGAGGCAAATTTTCTTCCCAGTTGCTGCTCAGCACCAGGAGGCAGCACTTTCTGCTCATTCTGCATTCTAAATTGAGAAAAGAAAGGGAAGACGCTAGATCATGGAGGCCCATCAATTGTACCACAGGGGAGAAAATGCTTGTGTAGAGTATAGGATTTCATGTAAGGCTTTTGTAGGATTCCGTTTTGCACTAGTAAAATCTGAGCATAACCACCTGTAATCTTCCCCTATCCAATATGTATCAAAGCAAAATAAGGATAGCAGTAGCAATAGCACTTAGATTTATATACCACTTCATAATGTTTTATAATACTCTCTGAGTGGTTTATAATGTCAGCATATTACTGGGTCCCCATTTTACCAACTTTGGAAAGATGGAAAGATGAGTCAACCTTGAACGGGTCAGGATCGAACTCCGGGCTGTTGGCGAAATTTCCTGCAATACTGCATTCTAACCACTGCAACATCAGATATATACAATATATAATTGGTTAACAGTAACAGTTGATTCATTTGTACCAAAAGTGTATATAAAAAGTCTATACACCTTTGTTAAAATGTCAGGTTTTGGAGATGTAAAAGAAGATGAAGATTTCACTTGAGAGTTTTTTCCACCCTGAATACAACATATAGGCTGTACAATTCAATTGAAAAACACACTGAAGTCTTTTTTTTTTAATTTAAGTTTTTATTGATTTTTAAAAACAAACAAACAAACAAAACATAAAAACATCAAGCCATCTTCCATATGTATACAATACAGTGTGCCAGTTGGTTTACAAATTGTTTTGTGCTTTCATTTCTTAGTCTTCAATTACAATTACATTGCATATAATCTCGTATTTTCAACCAAAAATTAAATACCTTAGTATCATTATTAATCAATCATTTGACTATACTTTTATTCATTCATGTTTTATGAAATAATCCATATTTTACTTAATTTGTTTTATGACAGTTCATATTATCATCTCAAATCTATCCTAAAATCATTTTGTAGATATAATAAGAAAAGAATACATCTTTATATATTTATTATTTTCTAAGAATCTACATATTTCATTACTGTATTTTATTGTCTGACCATTGATAGAATAGATCCCAAATTTTATAAAATTGTTTATCCTCTTGTTCTCTAATTTCAAATGTCAATCTACTCACTTCAGCACATTCCAATATTTTCTTAATGATTTCCTCCTGTGATGGTATCTTCTCATTTTTCCAGTTTTTGGCAAATACAATCCTAGCTGCTGTTAATATATTTACAATCAGATATTTCAAGTCTTTACTATATATTTCAGGTAAAATTCCCAATAAAAATACCTCTGGTTTCAAGTCTATATGTTTTTTTGTCATTTTTTCCAACCACGTGTGGATTTTAGTCCAGTATTTTTTAGCATCCGCACAAGTCCACCACATATGGTAATATGAGCCAGGTGTCTGATGACATTTTGAACATTTTTCGGATTTATTCTTGAACATTCTTGCTATTCTTGTCGGGGGGAAATGCCACCTGTAAAACATCTTATATAAATTTTCTTTATATGCTGTTGACATTGTCATTTTATAATTTTGAGACCACAATTTTTGCCATTTCTCTAAATCAATCCCATATCCAAAATTCTTCCCCCAAGCAATCATAGTTTCTTTAACTTGTTCTTCTTCTAATTTAATTTATAATAAATATCCATACAATTTTTTAATCACCTTTTCATCAGTACCTGTCAAAATCTTATCTAAATCAGTCAATTTATCATAGAAACCTTCCATTTTAGAATCTTTATCATACCTTGAATGTATTTGCGCATATGAAAACCAATTCATCTTTATACCTTGTTCCTCTAGTTTTTGTACAGATTTGAGTTCACCCTTTTCATTCAATATTTCACCATTATCTAACTGTTTGTTCCTTTTTGTATATTATAGGATAAGAAAATGCTTCAATAGTCGATAGCCAGACTGGAATTTTCAAATAACATTGTCTTTTAATCTTCTCCCAGTTTAACCACAGAGACTCCCATAAATAATGTCTTCTAAAATGCCCCTGTGTTTTAGTTCCTTTATACCATAAAAAAGCATGCCACCCCAACAACAAATCATGTCCTTCTAATGGCAACAATCTAGTATTTCTTAGTGTTATCCATTCCTTAACCCACATCAGATTTGTAGCTTGATAATACAACTCCCAATTGGGCAAAGCAAATCCTCCTCTAATTCTAGCATCTTTAACTTTATTCTCGCTTTCTTACCTTGCCAATTTTATTTAAATCTTCAAAGTAATCTTTTCCAAGCCTAATTGGAATTGTTTGAAACAAATATAAAATTATGGGTAATATATTCATCGTGATTGTTGAAATTCTCCCTATTAGTGACAGTTGTAAATTTTCCCATTTCGCCAGATCTAGCGCTATCTGCTGTTTAAGTTTAATATAATTATTCTCTTTTAGTGTACTACATCTTGCTGTCAAATATATCCCCAAGTACTTGATCTTATTCATGACCTGAATTTTCAATAGGTCTGCCAGTTCTTCCTTTTGTCTTAATAGCATATTCTTTGTCAAGATCTTTGTCTTATCTTTATTTATTTTCAAACCAGCCACCTTTCCATATGTCTCTATCTTTTCTATCAATTTTGGTGCTGTTTCTAGAGGGTCTTGTAAGATGAAAACCAGATCATCCGCAAATGCTTGCAGCTTAAATTCTTCCTTTTTGATTTTAATTCCTTTTATATTCTTTTCATCTCTAATATTTCTGTTTAGCACTTCCAAAGTTAACACAAACAACAAAGGTGATAGTGAGCACCCTTGTCTTTTCCTTTTCTTATATTGATAGAGTCTGTCAGTTCTCCCTCTATCATTATCTTTGCCGTTTGCTTATAATATATAGCTTCTATTGCTTGAATAAATTTTCTAGCAAAGCCCATCTGTTCCAGCAGTAATAACATGAATCGCCAGTTCACATTATCAAATGCCTTCTGTGCATCTAGAAATATCAGAGCCATTTGTTTTTCAGGATGTGCCTCGTAGTATTCCAAGGTGTCCAAGATTACTCTCATATTATCTTTGTCTCTTTGGCAGAAATCCATTTTGATCAGGATGAATAAAATTATTTAGATATTTTTAAAGTCTTTCTGCCAATATTGAAGCAAAGATTTTATAATCTGCATTTAGTAGAGAAATAGGTCTATAGTTCTTAATTTGTATTGGATCGGCCTCCTCTTTTGGAATAAGTGTAATATAGGCTTCTGACCATGATTTAGGTATCTTCTTCTTTAACATAACTTCATAACTTCTAGCAATGGAAGATTCAACGATTCTTGTAATGTTTTGTAAAATTCTGCCGGAAGTCCATCTGGGCCTGGTGCCTTTCCATTATTTTGCTTCTTGGGTGCCTCAGTTAACTCCATCATCGTTATATTGCTTTCTAACATTGTTTCAATCTCTTTAGGTATCTGAGGTAAATTAGCATTCTGTAAGTACTGTTTAACTCTTTCCCCATCAATATTCTCTTGCATATATAGTTTCCCATAGAAATCTCGAATGATTTTCTTCTTCTCTTTACTACCATAGCAAACTTGGCCTTGGTCATCTGTTAATTGCAGTATTTTCCTTGATTCTTTCTCCTTTCTCAATTTGTATGCTAACCATCTGCCTGGTTTATTTGCATCTTCAAAGTAGTTCTGTTTAGCACCTCTAATTTTCTGTGCTAATTCTTCTTTTTCTATTTGGCCCATTTTATGTTTAACTATATCCATTTTTAACTTAATGTCCTTTTTCTGTGGCATTTTCTGTAGCTCTTTTTCAAGTCCTTTATACTCATCCTCTAATGCCTAATCTTTTCATGGTATTTCTTTTCCTTGTATAGTCTATTATCAAGCCTCTAACATATGCCTTCATTGTATTCCATACATTCTGAATTGATGTATCTTCTTTTTTGTTTTCTCTAAAGAAAAAAGCCAATTCTTTCTCCATCCACTGTGTGAAGTCTTTTTCCTTTAAAATAGTATTATTTAACGTCCATCTAGATCTTCTTTTTTGTCCTTTCCATTTAATTGTCATTGGATTGTGATCTGCCCAAGTACTTGTTTCAATATTTATTTCTTGAATGTTAGGTATTAATTCTGTTGACATCCATATCATATCTATTCTGGACCATGATAATTGTCTATTTGAATAGAAGGTGTATTGTTTAGTTTTAGCATTTCTTTCTCTCCATGTATCTTTTAAGTTTATTTCATCTACCATTTAAAAAAAAAGATTTAGGGAGAGTCTTTTTGTTTTGCTTTATTGTTTTCTGTGCTGTATAGTCCAATTTATTGTCTACAATTCCATTATAAAATCTCTCATCATAACTATATTTGCATAGTCCAGTTCAATTTTTTTCATATGTAATTTTTTGTAGAATTCTTCTTGTTTGTCATTCGGGGCATAGATTGCAATCAGGAGCGTTTTCATATTATTATCCATTATTTCCACCATTAGTATTCTTCTGTCATCATCGGTATAAATCAATTTTGCTGGGATGGTCTCTTTAATATATAAAACCACTCCTCTTTTCTTACATTGTGTCAAGGAAGTAAATATTTTCCCTAGTTTTGGCTGTATCAACAATTGTTCATATTGTTTTTTAATATGTACTTCTTGTAGA